TCAGCTCAGAGTTTTCAGTTCAAGGCCCATCCACACAGACAGGCACCAGCTGAAGAGGCTGCTCGCTGGTAGGTCCATGTAGGACAGAAACCCTTCCCTAGTTGGATTTCCAATCCGCAGCTTCGCACAAGATAAAATAGAGGTAATGCAGAAGTGCAAATGAGTGTTTACTCTGGTGCTGCCAGTTCTATCAGCTGGTGGCTGATGCCCGACACCTGGCATTGAGAGGGACTTTGAAGTTCAGTGCAAGCGAGTGCCACAGTTAGGTAGCCAGGTCTTCTGGGTACAGGGAAGAGAAAACCGGAGCAACACACCACGTGTTTGCCATCCCAACCGGGACCTTTGGCATTCGGGGTTACGTTTGCTGCCTCAGCGGACTTGCATTTGGAGCACTGCCAGAAGGTGGTAGCACTTAGAAGATGTGCCACTGAACGCTACTCACAAGGGCCTCCCCGGTCACCGTGTGGGGCGAAAGGAAGCAGAGCAGCCGGTCAGCGCAGCTGAAAGTTGGCTGCGGGCCGGCAGAGCGTCCCAGGCAGCACCGACCGCAGCTCTCCTCGCGGGGAGACCTGCGCTGCAGGGCGAGTTCTACTCTTCTACTCCCACTGCTTTCTGAGTTTTCTTCAAGCTCTGACTTCACCCTTTGCGTCAGAGCAAAGCGCAACAAATGACAGAGGGCGATGTGGGTTTCGCTCATCCTTTAATTCATTGTGAGCAGTACTAAAGGGTCTCTGAGCCCAGCATTTACACCCCTAGGAATATAACCCACTTCTAGCACCGTCGCCTCGAGTCCTTGTGGCTCTGCACGTGAACACGCACTGTCTCTGATCTCGAATCACCAGGGCATCTTTGTTCTCCTTTCTCCACGTTCATAAGGACAGCTGTTTGTCTTCAATGCTCAGGCCAACACCTGGAGCCAGGCCTTCCCCGTTTTACCTCCAGTGTTAACCAGGGTGCAGTCCTGCCGGCGGGGGCCGTCCTGCGCGTTGCAGGGTGTTTAGCAGCGTCTCTGGCCTCTATCTACCCACATGTCCTTTCCGGGGTTGTGACAACCAAAAAAACATCTCTGGATATTGCCAAATGTCCCCTGGGAGACACAGCCAGCCACCCCCTGTTGAACACCACACCTTTAGATTAACAGCCAAAGACCTCTGTGAAGCGTTAATTCCTCAAATTTCTTCAATCCATTTTCTAATTATTCCAAAATCCCTTCTTTCAGAGGCAATGAGAACATGCCATGCCTATTTGCATACTTCCCCTGTCCAACTCCAAGTGCCCTTCCTCTCCGGCACGTCCAGTCTGCCTGTTTACTCCCGGACCCAGGCCCCAGCAGCCGGAAGCCTCCTGTGACTCTTTCGGAGCCACCCTGCGCTTTGTCACCATCTTTTGCTCTCAGCATCCTTCATAGTCATTGTTTCTCTTCCTATGGCTTCAACGCTAAGATCCTCCAGGGTTCTATCTCCAGTTCTCATTTTACTTAGTCTGTGCTCTACCAGGACGAGGTTGTCTGCTCCCGCAGCTTCACCCTTTGTCAGGATGACCCATCAGACCTGTCACAAATCCGTGTCTCCCGAACCCTTAACGAGCTTTCCCTGCTCTTAACAAGGCCCCTGACAAAAGAGCCTACACCCTTGAGGTCAGTAGGTCCAAAACGAGGTTGGCGCCAGAACTTCTGCGGATGAGGTGAAGCTGGTTCCAAAAACGCTGAGCCCTGGATTCAAATCCTGCTGTTGGAAGAGAGGCCGTTGCTGGGGCAATCCTGTTAGGAAGAGCCACGAAACGGGAGAAAAGCAAGCTCTTCTCCCTCCCTCTTAGCTCCTCTGCTCCCTCTAGCGCCCCCTGTGGGTGGAAGCCAGGAGACACCTTGCAGGGTTACGGCCTCAGCGTCAGAAGGATGGGAAGGATGGGTGGACTTAGAATCAGGAGACACTAGTTTCAAAACCGGCACAATGCTCTTTCCGGTCTCTGTGCCTTGTCTTACACAGTTTCCCATCCCTACTGCCCTTTCTACCAATAGCTTCCTGGTGCACGCCTCTGTTCAAATACAGTCTTCTTTCTTTAATCTACTCTAATCTCTCCCCCAAATAATTATTCAAACCGGCACCTCAGTTCCCCTAGCAGTTTGCAAATGCTTCCTTTATAGTTTTCTTTATATTGTGTCATAATTATTTCTGCACATGCTATTTGTTTGTTTTCTGCCAAACTGTGAGCTCCTTTAGGGCAGGTAGAGTAATGACCGCAACATGTAGCAGGTAACCCCAGATGTGCCGGTTGAGCTGGATGGGTCTGGTAACAGCATTTTAATGGAATTAATATCACATCACTTCTTACGTATATTTTATCTTCCCAACCAGACTTGAACTCCATAAGAGCAGAGCTTTCTATTTCTTTCATTTCTTCCTGGTGCTTAGTGCAAGGTTGCGTAGGCTGAAGAAGAGCTCAATGATACTTGCTAACCACCTGGTTTGTTCATTACGCACCACAATTTTCGTTCAAAGTGACACAAAGATGGAGCATAAGTGTATGGATGGCAGGTAAGGTCTGTCGTCAGGTTTAGACGTGTTTCTAGCACACAATTCCAACAGAGTATACTATTCCTATGGCCAGGTGCTCTCACCGCTGAAAGACTAGCACAATCAAGAAACCAAAGGTCATATGTCTTACAGCGAATTCTAAAGTAATGAGATGTGCTCTAGGTTTCTCTTTTTCTCTGTTTCTCTCTTACAGAAAATGTATCCCCCCGATTCATGAGGCTGCATCTGTCCCTTGTATGTTTATTAAATTTCTCACAATCATCAACATCAACCAGTAGATTATTTGAACATAGACAAGGCATTGAATTTTAACTTAATCACCAACTTCTTGAAAAACGAAACCTCTGTTCAACAACTGATTTACATTCAGGCCCAAGAAGAAGCAAAAAAGCTTTTCTTTTTTTTCTTTTTAAGGGGAGTGATATTTAATTAACTATTGATTTCTTCTCAATTACTCAAGGCAAGCAATTATCGATATTGATGGAAGAGAGATTTCCTTAGCTCCAGTACCTAAATGAAAGGAAATATCTTATTCAACAATCTGCTGCCTGGAATCAAAATGCTGAGACTCTTTAAATGCAAACAATTATTTGGATCTGTTTATTCCACATTGTCCCAATTAAACAGATATTTCCTGAAGTGTAAGCAAAACAAAATCCTGAAAACCCATGCATGCTTTCCAAAATAACAACTACCAAAAAAGAAAAGAAAGAGAAGGCTTTTGTCAGTTTTGACCATGGTCTAATCTCTCTCCACTTGTAGACTTGGCCTGCTGACTACAGCTCTCGACATTTTAAACCGTGACTCATAAAATACTATAATGTGGGTCTACTACTCACCATTTCTATGCCACCCAATGAGAGCTAGCTTGTCTAATCATCCGCTACATCATTTAGAGCAGGAACGCCACCTTATCTATCAAGACTTGGAGCTATAAGGTTTAGGAGGCCTTAGTTGTCACTCCTGTCATTTACAGATAGCAGGTGTGAGTACATTTGAGAATAACATCAATACATTATGCAACTGGCACCAAGAGGCCACCAAGGAATTGGGGAAGGTGCTAACACAGGGCCCTGTTTCGGCCACTTCGGTACTAACCCTACGAGTATCCCCCGCCATTTTTTTGCTCAGCTCAGCTGCACACAGAGCATTAATTAGCATGTTTATAAGGAGCTTCTTTTGAAGGTGACATGACCATTGAACATGAGTAATGACAAGACAACATCCTCTGTTGAGTAATTACGTGAGAGATGGGGGTTATTTTTTTAAAATACTTTGCAGTTGATAGAAGTGTGTGTGTGTGTGTGTGTGTGTGTGTGTGTGTAAATCACGTGGTTCCCCTGGGGAAATTTAACCATGGCATTTCCAAAACAATGAAAAAATGTTATAATTTATTTTTTTTAAAAGATCCTTTTTCTGCTCTGCCCCCACCGCCCCTTCCAGAGTGTTTCTCCGTATTAAGTGCTTAAGCAGCATTTGTCGCTGGGCAGTGTTTTTGGCTCTTTTACTCTGTGTTGTTGTTTTAATTTCCCTGGGTTCTATTTACCATTCTGCTAAATCAGTGAAACCTTGATTATCTAAAAGAATAAGAAACCTGGCGTTAATGGGGATAACCAGAATTTTGAAGAACTAAGAAATTATTAGAGGTGAAAGTTACATGACAGGGACCGCAAATGAATTGTAGTCTCTGGAATTGCTTGTCTTGACTTATTTAAAGGAATGTGATCGATCGATGAACAGAGTGAAATTTGGGTAATCAGGGTTTCACCACTGCATTTATGATTATCCCCGGAAACCAAGGTAACCTTGGGCTCTACCTCCCAAATTTACAAGACAATAAAAATCCTAATAGGCTGTCAGGGGCAGAAGTGACTGCTCTTCCTCACACCTGTCCACGAAACAGCTTTCTCTCTTCCCCTGTGGCTGCCGCCTGGCGCATGCTGCCTGCCCCCTGTCCCATCCTGTCCCTTCCAGTTGGCTTCTGTCACCATGCATGCGACACTGGAGTCACCTGCAGGGAGGATGTCGCGTCCCTTAGAGGCTCTTGGTCATTTTAGCAATCCTGCTTTGCATTTTAATTAGCATCATCTGGCTTCAAAGCTCTGCATTCTCGCATGAGGCACTTGTCCTTTAAACACCCGGGAGGTCACCGCAGGTGTCCCATGAAGAGAAGCCACTGCCAAAGCAGGTGTATTTCGTTACCTTGTACTCTGTAGCCTGAAATGCACAGTGATAACATCTCTGCTTGCAGCCAAAATCTATAGAAAAAGATCGGATGATGCAAACAAAGGCAGCAAACCACCTGTGTTTGGAAATTGGAGTCACGTGCTTAGTTGGCGGCGGGGAGGGGGAGCGCGGAATCGATAGAGATTTTCTTTTAAGCTGAAAACATGATGTACCAGATGAACTTAAATTGATTCTGCTTCTCCTCCCCGCGCCCCGCTCCCCTCCCCCCTCGTTCTGCAGCCAATGTCTGCGACAACGAGCTTCTTCACTGCCAGAATGGAGGGACGTGTCACAACAACGTGCGCTGCCTGTGCCCCGCCGCCTACACGGGCGTCCTGTGCGAGAAGCTGCGGTGCGAGGAGGCCGGCGGCTGCGGGTCGGGCTCGGGCCCGGGCGCGTCCCCGCTCCGCCGCCCGGCGCTGCTGGTGACCGCGCTGCTGGCCACCGCCGGCCCCCTGGTGATCTAGGCTGCGCCGCGGCCACCCGCCGGGCCTGTGCCCTGGGGAAGCAAGCGCGGCCCGAGCATTTGCTACTGACCTAGAAACACACTCTCAGACACCCCCACTCAGACGCAGGGAACGAACTCCAGAGGCCCGACTGAACTAAGCCATATTTGTCAGCCGCGGGCAACACCGGCGAGTCTGTTCCCTTCTGACTCCGGAGCGGGCAGCGGCCGGCAGTGTCACTGAAGATCGCACGGCCAGCGCAGGGCTCATTGCCGATGGGAAAGGCTGGGACAGCCCCCCTGCCCCCCAACAGGAAAGACTGCAACACAAATCAACCGACCTAATAAACGCTTGTGCTCTCACGTGGCGCGCCCCAGTACCGCGCGGCCGCGCGCGGGCCGGCCGCGAGGGGGCGTTCTCCGCGGGCGGGGCGCTGCGGGGCGTGAGCACATTGGTTACAGCCGCCAGCCTGGCCTGTCTCAGCCCCTGACCCCCTTCCAACCTGTGCTTTAGTGAACGTGGCTCTGTAACCCTCGTTGGTTGAAAGATTTCTTTGTCTGATGTCGGTGATGCACATGTGTACCAGCCCCTCCAGAAGCTCAAGGCAGCCACGCCCCGTCTATCCACGCCGCGCCGAGTCCTCCCAGCGCTCGGTGCCCGCGCGCACCCGCTGTCCAAGAGTGGCCATAGGAAAAAGAGAAAGTGTATCTATCCTTTTGTATTCAAATGAAGTTATTTTTCTTGAAATACTGTAATATGTAGATTCTTTTGTATTCTTGCCAATTTGTGTTACCAGACAATCTGTTCATGTATCTCATTCGAATCAGCAAAGACTGACATTTTACTTTGTTCGCTTCCGTTCTGTTTCGTTTCATTGTGCAGCGATCTCTCTGTAAGGGCAACGAATGTGCTGGCATCAAAGAATATCAGTTTACATATATAACAAGTGTAACCAGATTCCACCAAAGGACATTCTAAGTGTTTTCTTGTTGCTTTAACACTGGAAGATTTAAAGAATAAAAACTCCTGCAGAAATGATTTCAGGAATTTGTATTGCAATTTCTTAAGATGGAAGGAGAAGCCACGAAGCGGTTTCACACTCACTTCGCTGGTTTCTATGTGGACTGAATGCACGCAGCTGGCGGATTTAGTACCCAGGGAGATGGAATGACGTTCACTAGCTTGGACAGCTTCTGCAAGATATGAGACTATTTCCACTTGGGAAAATGATAACAAACAAAAAAAAAATCTAAGCGATTGCCAAGATTATGCCAAAGCCTGTTGGCAGAGTACTAAGAGACTTTTATTTTTCAGTCATGCTATTTTCACAGATTGATGGGACCATGTGACTCTAGGGACGCTGATCTATGTATCTTTCCAAATACAGTGTTTACATAAGTGTCGTAAGGGGCAACCTGGGGAACCAGGGAAGTCGCAGGGAAATTGAGTGATTAGCAATTTGACTTGGAATATATTCAGACAAACTATTTAGAGGAAATATCAAATATACAGCAGCAAGTAGACATAACTGCTGTTCCTGAGAATAAAGTTTGTTTTAAGTACCGCCCAAGGTGTAATACATTCTTGTTTCTGCCTTTTATTAGGCCAATTACCGTGCCAGACAGCAAGGGGAGGCGGGCGCGGGGGAGCATCGCGCGTTCCAGGGTGGCTGACACAGTGCGCGTCGCTTCCTCAGCACACTCGTCCTGCAGGTGACAAGCGTGTTAGCGGCAGCCTCTCCTGGACCCAGAAACAATTATCGGCCCAAACCAGAGCCGTAAAGAAACGAGGCCCTACAGGACCTGGTCGCACAATGAGCGCTGGTAGAGGGAGGTCGGCCGCCGGCTTCCTGTCTGAATCCTTGGCCCAGCCTGTTTGCCACTCTTGGCTGAAACGGTGGGGGTGGGGCGTGCGGATAATGTCTTCTGATAAATAACCCGGCTAAAAACTAGGTAAAGGAACAGTGTGTCTTATTGGTTTTGTTCCCAGAAAAGCCAATTCAAAGAAGGCAATAAAAAGTAAACTGGTAACGCCTGCCCTCTCTGCCACCCCACATCTAAGTAGATTGGATGTTTGCTATTCTAACCCACAGTCTCTTTCGATGTAAGAAATAAGGGAAGATGGAAAGAAATTAGAGCTCTGGCTGAGTGCCAGAAGGGCCAGCCAGAAATTGGAGATTTACATGAGAAATATAAACAGCAAATTACCTATCAGGCTCACCGAAGACTGCACGTAAAAGTGCCAAGAACACACAGAGCCTGAGATTCCTTATAATGAGGCGGATTTTCCATATTCAGATTGGGATTTACATTGCCTTACAGTTTATTAGCGCAAACCGAAGGGAGGCTGTGTGTTCTTCCCAGCCACGGCGCACTTTTTGTCACCAGGCTCAGGAGTCGGGCTGCGCATTTCATTTCAAGACCTAGGATTCCAGAAGCTTAATTCTGAAATTTAATGAAGGCCTGATCTAAATCACTTCATCTGCATGTTATCTTTATGAGGCTCAAGGAATCTAAATTGAGGAGGAATATATTGCGTTCAGTGGATTTAGATAGAGTTTTATGAATTTCCTAAAACGATGTGATCTGCTTTTAATAAAAATTCACTTTTAGGTATATAACCCATGAGGATGAAATGTTCTTTTGAACCTGGATTCTCAGATTCCTCTACAGGGTGTGTTTCTTTGAAAAACCCCAGCTTGGTGGATGTTTGTGTGGTTGCTCCCTGGCATTCTTGCAAAGCTGGTTCCATTTTTAATAGGAGGCCTTAAGAACATGATGGGGTTGAAAAGTGGGCACTAAACTGTTCACAAACTTAAGGTCCTAATTCTTGTTCTGCCTATATTTGCATTGACCTTTAAGGTGGGTTAATGCAGTCTTGCATACAAGCTAATCTGTCGACTTCACCACAAAGTAAAATTGTGGTTCTTTCCATCAACACCACTGATGAGCCTAAGACTGCAAAGAAATCTTGGTCCAAATGTTCGGCTCCATGTAAAGTCTTGGTATTTATGGGAAAGGGACCGGACTGCCCTGCGGCGACCTGAGAGTGCTTTGCTTCTGACCCCGTGCGCAGCCTAGAGGAGGAGCTGCCGTCCCAGCAAGGAGGGGCGCTTGTTTAGAGGGGTCCATTCCAATCCTCCCCCTGCTCCAACTCAGTGGCGAGGAACCTTGGGTTCCCTACCCAATGTCCTACACGTTTTCAGGTGTGTGTGCCCCTCTTCCGGGAGTCCAGACTCCTGAAGGCAGGCCGCGCCAGGAGCGCACACCCCCGAGCACCAGGGGTTAACCCGGGGGGAGCCCCTGTGGGTAGGGGGGTGGCCGGGCCTAGGGGCACACACTGGGGAATTCACTTGGGAGTGCGCAGAGGCACCTCTGCAGCGAAACCAGAGCTCAGGGGCGGAAAGGAAGGGGATAAGGGCAGGGGGTGGGGGGTAGCCTGGGGCTGCCTCGGGGCTGGGGACCAGGACAGAGCTCTGAGCGGTCTAGCGACTCTAAATCTGTCCCCAAGTTCCCAATTGCTATGAAAGCATTTGTGTCAAGGTAGCGGACCGAGCACTTGTTACTCAGCACTATGTTAGCTTGCTCTAAAACTCTTCAATATTTAGACATATGGCATCTGGGTTTCACCAGGCCCTGTGCCCTGGCCCCGGCTGGGTGGATCTCCCTGGACAGACCCTTGAGGGGCTCTTGAGTCCGATCGTTAAGTTGGCACAAATCACTCACTCAGGAAACAGATAGGTGCAGGTCTGAAGGAGGCCTGTGGGCCCCCATTTGTAGTTCGTGCTCTGCTTCAGCTGTTTTTTGGACCTGGGGCCTCGCTGGATAGAACATGAGAACTTTTGGATGGGCTGGGACAGCGGTGAGAAATCTGTGAAATCAGATCGGCCGTCTCATCGTCCTCGCTCCCCGCCGTCAATACCCTGGTATTATTGGGACGTACAGTCCCCGTAATCTGAAATGGGATGCCCTGTGTTCCCGGGAGATGAGCTGTTGCACTTGCCCTGCTGTTATCTAGTAAATAAAACACCTGTTTAGCAGCTTCTCTGCTCACAGAATCATACAGACTATGTCGAAACTTTGAACCACTCGTTCTATGTATTTACATACGGGACGCTGTGTATTTATGATCTGGTCTGATTTAAAGCTTCATCTTCCACAGTCTGAACTAGAATTCTTTACCCGCCATTTTTATTCCCAGTTTTTATCGACAAGGATGGCAAGAGTGGTAGAAACTAAGCTGATACTAGAACACTATGAATAACCAGATGAAACATTAGGATTCATTTTGAGAACCCACACTCAGAACCAGCAATGAGAAATATGGACAAGGAACACCCCCAGGGTTTTGACCCAAAAGTCAGGTCATGAACAATTCTTTCTTTGCCTCAGGAAATCAGGACTCGGTGCCGATCAATTTTCTTTCTAAGATATATCCAGTGTTCATCTCGCACCAATATTGCAAGAGTTCTGACCATTTCCACAGAGAAGAATTTTTTGCTTCGAACTGTATTTTAGCTTTCTTAAAACTAAAAGTAGTTCTTCTCTTTAGCATTAATGGGAAAAGCCAGCAATGGACGCCAGCCTAAAATGGACGCCGGCCAATGTCAGCTTAAACTGCCCATAAACACAGTATGACGTCAGAAAGAATTAGGAATGCCACGTATCATATTTTGAATTTTCACCAACAATCTTAGGAAAAAGAGATAACTCTTCACAACAGCTGGGAAGGTATAGCTGGCATATTACCACCATCATTTTGCATCTGAAGAATCAAATAACTAAGAAACAGACACGTATCCTCTATAAATCATCACTGCATTTAACTAAAAATGAGAAACTGACATCTATGAAAAACTTACATTAACAATGAAAAATGCAGTTATCTGAGATCTACCATAGCAGAAAAGTTCTGCCCCTGATACAGTTTTAGCATAGGTTGGGAAACAAGTCTACTGAGAAGACTCTAGTGATTTTAGGGCATGTTGTTTAGAGTTATACCCGGTGTGTCCAGAAAGTATC